TTAAACTGTGGTCTTTATACATTCTGCATATTACTGCCTAATTAGATATATGACTTTCAAATATTTTCTCCACTCTGTGCAGTGTCTTTTCTGTTGATACTGTCTTTTAATGTACATATTTGCTCCATTTTCATGAAGTCCCTTTTTGTCTATTTTTTCTTTTGTTGCTTGTGCCCTTGTCTTATCTAAGAAATCATTGCCAAATTCAATGTTGTCAAGTTCTTCTAAGAATTTCATAGTTGTAAGTACATTTATGTCATTCATCCATTTTTAGTTAATTTTTATACATGTCAAAAGGTAAGGGTCATCTTCTTTCATTTGTCTGTGGAGATCCAGTTCTCCTAGCACCATTTGTTGAAAAGAATTTCTTTCCCCAGTACATTTCTTGGCATCCTTACTGGAAATCATTTGACCAAATATTCAAGTGTTTATTTCTAGACTCTACTTTACTCCAATAGTCTGTATGCCTTACTCAGTAACACACAGCTGTGATTACTGTAACTTTGAAGTAAGTTAAAAATAAGGAAGTATGAGTCCTCAGCTTTGTTCAAAATGCTCAGGATTGTTCTGGCTATCCAGGGTCCCTTGAGATCCCATATGAATTTTATTATGAGTTTTTCTATTTCTACAAAAAAAATTCATTGGGATTTTGACAGAGATTACATTGAGTTTGTAGTACTGACATCTTCATATTAAATCTTCTTACTCGTGAACAAGGGATGTCTCCACTTATTTGTGTTAATTCTTTAAGCAATGTTTTACACTTTCCATTATGCAAGTTTTTCATTTCTTGATAATTACTAAATATTTCATTTTTTTCATGCTATCATAAAGGGAATGTTTTTGTAGTTTCCTTTTCAGGTTGTGCATTGTTAGTCTCTAGAAATTCAGTTGATTTTTGTGTGCTAATTTTATATCCTGCTACTTTGCTGAATTCACTTATTCTGATAGGTTTGTGGAATACTCATGTCATAGTAAACTATGGGCACATTCAGGGAGGCAAAGGAAGACAATGTTGTGTTTTATTTTTTTCTTTTGCACTATTAGGTATCAAACTCAGGGCCTCATACATGCTAGTCAAGCACTCTACCACTGACTACATCACAAGCCCCAAACCAGAGTTTCTAAAGGTAAGAAAGATGAGGACTACATGTAAACTGTTTTGAAACAAAACATGGGTTACAGGGCTTTTCAAAGGAGTTGATTTAGTTCATTCATGTAGACAGTTCCAGGCAAGTGTTCACATACATCTGCCTAACTCTCTTTGGACTCATGCAGCAAGCAGCAATTCAGCAGTCTTCCTAAGAGCCTTCAGAGGGACTGTGTAACAATTCTATCATAAACATGCAAGTGCGTTCCCTCCCTTCATAACCTCCAGACTCCATTTTGTTTGATACAGTGACTCCATCTTGATACTGATTGAAAATTTCATTTTCTTGCCTAATTGCTGAATACAACTTTCAGTACTACATTGAAAAGAAGTGGTGAAAGTGAGTATCCTTGCTTTGTTCATGATCTTAGAGGAAAATTTTCAGTCTTTCCCCACTGGGCATAATGTCAGTTGTGGGCTTCTCATATTATGGCATTTATCATGTTGATACTTTCCTTCTACTTATAGTTCGTTTTTTATCTAAACAACCCCACAGATATGTGATTTTTAACGTTAAAAAATGAACCAACAGCCCAGAACTTTTAATTCCACAGCAAAGGAACTGAAACCGAAAGATAGTAATCTCCCCACAATGAAAAATCTTTAATTGCAATCTAGTGTTGTTGAAAACTGCATCAGGTAGTCTTGATTTTAAGATCTTGAAAACTGTTCCTGGTATCTTAGTTTTCCCTTCAGGGTTCCCTAATTTCATCATTCCAGATTTACGTTTTTTATGTGCTTCCTTATACAACTTAAAATTTTGTATAGATATACACACATATCATGAATATGGTCCTACTTTACTTCAAGCCCTTTACAGTTTTGTACTTCTTAGTTAACCAGCTGTAGTCTAGGAAAATCATAACAAAAAAGAAAATAATCTGATTGTATAACAGTATAAATTTTATATCTTCCATACAAAATATCCTAATAAGATTGTGATTCATTAGAAATAATTCATTTATTGAACTTACTAAAATGTTTGATGAGTAAAACCCAATGTTAATCTGGTTTTACCCTGATAAACAGAAAAAAATAAAAATCTCCTTATCTTGATCTACAAATACACACGTATGTCCTCTATCTACATGCTAATAGAGGAAACAGAGAATGATATTTTGGTCTCTATTTCAATCTAACAATTTTAGGAAAAAAGAGAAAAAATAAAATTTCAAACAATGTCAGTAGCACACACCAAATACTACCAAATTTGTTTATACAAATAAGTACAAAGGAAGGGGTTACTTAGTGTGAGCTAAGATGGTAAGGAAAGTTCTGTGAAGGTAAGATATGAGCAATGGTCTCAATGGACACGTGAGTGTCCAATAATTCAAGTGGAGAACAGAGATGGCCTTCAAGAAGCTCTCTGTGGCTAGCTCACTGACCTTTAAATTTTGCTCAATGGATACTCCCATACATGCCTAGAAAAGCCCTCCCTAACCCCCACCTCTAACTTGGGAAAGCACTTCAAGTATGTTAAATAAGACATGATGACCTACAAGGACCTTACTTGCAGCCCCTAGCCTCTAGGCCACAGAAGACAGCAGTAAATATCTGCTGACTGAATGTCAGCAATTACAGTAGAAGACAGAGCAGAATCCAATCAAAAAGCATTAGAAAACAAGGAGAAAAAGAGTGAACTAGCGCCTGCCTAGCAAGCATGAGACCCTGAGTTCAAACCTCAATGCCACAAAAAAAAAAAGGTGAACTGGAACAGAGTACAAAGGAAGAGTAGAACAAGGGAAAAATGTTGATAAAGAAAAAAATGAGCTGTCATTTAAGCTTATCCCTGAAAAAGAGAATTACAACACAGCTCCATGAAAAGAGAAATAAACATTTGAGAAGAATCAGTATAACCAAACTTAAGGGAGGGGAAGTAAGCACAGCAAACATGGACGGCAGTGAGGCCAGGCACTGGGTAGACAAATGGAAAACTTGGTAAGAAGGGATAATAACAGTGGAAGACTACAGAGAACCTTGAACAGAAATCTTATGTCTCATTTGCAATATATGCTGATATTTCTGTTATCATCTCAGAAGAAAGAAATTTTTAAGCAGTTACAAGGTTATTTGAAGAACTGGCAAAATTTGATTTTGATATAAAATTTGGTAGGATGTTTGTCATGGTGAGCTTCATTCCTTTCCTTCTCACAGTACAACCCACAATATAATGTGAAAACCCTCTAGTTGAGGATAATAAATCCTGACATGTGGCTTTTTCCAGCACGTAAGAACTATAGGAGGACCACACACGTCACTCTTGATTGGGCATGGCACAAAGATATGATGTGAACAATGTCTATTATACATGGCTCACTGGAAGGAAAAGCAACTGAAGAGGTAAGTATTATGAAAGGAAAAGCCACTGTGTAGTCACTCAACACAGAGCTAGAGAGTGAAAGACTGTTTATACTACATCCACTCTTTGGCAAGACAAACTCTTGAATAGAAAATTAGCACAATAAAGAACACCAACACACACCTGAACAGTGAGTATAAGTGTTTCATCTGCAGCTCCTAGATAAAACACTAAGATATTTTCCACGATGAACTGTAAGATTTTATTTTGAGTTTCACATGTTCTTATGTCTATTTTTTCCTGATAACCCATTATTGTCTTATCACTATGTACCCAAAGAGGAATATCAGGTATTATTTTAAAGTTATCTACTTAAGTGTTTATAAAGTCCTCTAGCATTTCGACTTGCTTTAATATGTAAATTACTATTTTGCAAGAAAAAAGTGTAGCATTTGCTAAATATTTCATGCATGGCTAATGTCAGCATGCTTTGCCTATTTTACTCAATTACAACAAGCTTTCTAAGACTGTATATTTTGCAGATAGTCAGGTCTGATCTATTTTTCCTGCTTCCAATAGAGGGGACAGTGACCTGGCTTCTAAATGGCCTGAAAGTTAAGCTGAAGAATAAAAGCAACATGGTTATTTTTAGAGCTCTACAGGCATAAAAATACAGCACTAAACTGTGACCTACAGCCATGCACAGCAAAGCATCACATCATGCGACAGTCTTCACTTTAGCTAGGAGCGCATCTGTGGTGCTTCAGCAGATCGCTCTTCATCTCATTACCAAAGACATGTCGGCATGCATTTGGGACCAGTGTCCATAGCTGCCGGCATCTTTTTCAAACAGAATGAGCTACATTCAAAAGATATATCATTATATAATTCATGAAGATTAAATAGTAAGTTATTTTTGTCATTTCTTCTAGCTTACATTTAAGGTGAATTAATAAGCATTCTCTCCAAATGAAAACATCGCAACCTCATTCCTAACATAGAAAGTTGTTTATTTCAAACAGTTTCAGTGAGTAAATCAGGAGGCTCATTCCTTCAACAGAGGACACATCCAGGAGCTCGAGATAAGCCTGAGAGAAACAGACTCATCACCAATTCAAGTAAACCCTGGCAACATCCCCACATCAGATCCATCAACTTGGCAGGTAAGCTCTAAGTCTTTTCTGTACATAGCACAAATCAAAAGTATATCTGTAGACAGCACTTTTCAATACATTAATGTCGTAAAGCTTCCTAAGAACTTTTAATAGCAAATGTTATTTTCACAAATTGTTCAGTATGTGTGTCATCTCCGACTTTGCTTAGTTTCTGCATAGCTACATAAAAGTACTTTCAAAGCTTGGTTTTGACACTGACCTACTTAGAAATTAAAAGACTTTAATCAATGTTCTAATCTTACTTTGACCTCCATGTCGAACCAGTGAAAAATTCATGCACTTTTCTTGCAATTATATTGTAAAGAAACAAGTATTTGCTCCTTAGACCCAGGAAATTTTATTCATGTGAAAACTGAAATATTTCCACAGACTAAAAATGCCACTTTTCAGCTGGATGAAATGGCCAAAAAACAATTCCTACAAACCTACACACTACGCCAGCTCAGATGTAGTGACAAAGACTTTGCTTCGGGAATTAAAATGGCATCTAAAGGAGAGAGAGAGATTAATACAAGAGATTGAAAATGAACAGAAAGTTAAAAAAACAGGTGTAGATTACAACTGGCTACGAAACTACCAGAATTCCCATACGACTATCCCAGCCACTGAACAAAGGCAGCTTGAAGTCCTCTGCTCACAAGTTCAACCCTGCCAAACTGGAACTATTCTCAGCAGGTAAAAATACTATGTTCTCTTCTTGTGATATGCACTACTGCCAAGTCCAAGCTCCTCACATATTCAGACTAGAAGTTGTAATCTTTTATGTAAATTCTTTATTCACGAGTACTCAATACCCAGCTACCAAAATCCCTACATATAGACTGGACAAACATACCTCTGGATATCTCACTGGTAGGAAATTTTTAAAATTACAATCAAAATGTATTTACCAGAAACATAATTTTAAAGCTATGTGCAGATTATTCTAAAGGTAATTAGTACAAATGACATTACATAAATTGTATTGGGGAAACCAAGGGGTACAAGGAATTTTCTGAATTGAACATTCATTCCCACATTCCTTCTAGATTTCGAGAAGTTCTGGCAGAAAATGATGTACTGCCATGGGAAATAGTCTACATCTTCAAGCAAGTTCTGAAAGACTTCCTCAGCAGTGCTGGCAGAGGGAGTCAGCCTGAGGGCCCACACGACTCCCAGGACACAAGCTGTCCCACTCCCTCTGAGCTCCCAGGTGAAACCTCCCAGAGTCCAGGCAAAGATGAAATACCTACTATTTCAAGTTATGTAGACAGAAACACAAAGAACAGGTTCCCAACATGCTCACACAGAATATGGAGCCTTCCATATTACTACCCATCAAGTTAAGGTACTCAGAACCAGGAGTTTTTATGACCATCTTAGCATCAGAACTCTTCATATTAAGAATAAGAAAAAGTGATGTGTGACTTCAAGTGTCTTTGCTACACAGCCAGAAGTTAAAATTCCTATGGATGTATCCTGTTTTAAATAGTATTCTTTTTATCATCACTCTAAATATGCATTTTCATTGAACAGTATGCTTTTAACTAAAAAATGTTTCCTAAATATTTTGAAATATGTTTGAAGTATTTTCTTATACCTCAAACACATCTCACAAGACCTAAGGCAATTTAATAATGTAGTCTGACATATTCTGTATGAAACTTAAGTTAATCCTGACTTTTATTCTAGAAAAGACTGTACAAAATAAATGATATATAATATATCACTAAAATGAAAAGAAGTCAATATCCCAGTATGTAATATTATTATCAGCAAGGGACAGGGAAAAGGGACAGAGAGGGAGGAAACCACATGCAGCCTAAAAACAAGCAGGGCTTCATCCTGCTTTGTTGAATCAGATTCATTTTTCATCACAATATTTTTAATTCAACATTAACAGAAAGTATTAAAAATAGTTCTATGTTGTATCAGTAAAAATAAATGAACTGACTTAACATCAGTAGCTGCTACTCTCAAAGAAAAACATTTAATGCTGACATATAAATTTAAATCCATAGCTGGGTGCTGGTGGCTCACACCTGTGATCCTAGACTACTCAAGAGGCAGATCAGGAGGATCAAGGTTCGCAGTCAACCCCGGGGCAAATAGTTCCGCAAGACCCTATCTCAAAACATCCCTTCACAAAAAAAGGCTGGTGGAGTGGCTCAAGGTGAAGGCCCTGAGTTCAAGCCCCAGTAATGTTTAAAAAAAAAAAAGTCCATATTATGCTCATGCAAGACAACAAAATATTTAATGTATAAAATTCAACGTTATTTCATAACTTAATTAAAGTAAGAAACTATGTATTAGTCAGATTCATTTTTTTGATAAAATGCTAGAATCTTTACCATTCTTAAAGGTAAGACCAAGGAACCTTTAGTCCCTTCATGGTATCTACAGTTGGAGATATACTGATTTTCTTTCATCTACAAAGAAAAAAAGCTGGGTGCAGTGGCTCATGCCTGTAATTCTACCTACTAAAGATGTGGAAATCAGGAAGATCACAATTTTGAGGTCTGCCAGAGCAAAAAGTTAGTGAGACTCCCATCTCAACCAACAAATTGGGCATGTTGGTGTGAGCCTATGATCTCAGCTACAGGAGAGGCCTAGATAGGAGGATCAATTGTGTCCACAACTTCAAAAACAACTGGGCAATATAGCAAGACACCCATCTCAAAAGAAGTAAAAATAAATAAAATAAATTTTTAAAAAGAAAGTAACAGCCTGGTACAGTGGTTTACACTTGTAATCCTAGCTACTTGGAAGGTAGAGATCAAGAGAATTGCAATTCAAGGCAGCCTAGGCAAAAAAGTAAGGAGACCCTATCTTGACTTAAAAAGCTGGGGATAACTGTGTACGCCTATCATCCCAGGTATGTAGGAAGCATAGCTAGAAGGTTAGTGGCCCATGCTGGCCCTGGGAAAAAACAACACTGACCCTATTTCAAAAATATACAAATCAAAAAAGGGTTGGGGGAGTGGCTCAAGTGGTAGAGCGCCTGCCTAACAAGTACAAGGCCATGAGCTCAAAGTCCAGTACTGCCACATATTTATATACACATATATACACATATTAATGTGTGTGTGTGTGTGTGTGTGTGTGTGTGTGTGTGTGTGTGTGTAGCCTTCACTGCAAGAACAAAATTTTGTTTTAAACAGACCTTGCAGTTTTATTTCTGAAGCCAGTACTAGAGCTGCTCTGTCAGGAAGGAGACACCATAAAAGGGCCCAAAGCATCATCGCATTTTCCCTTACAACCCCTTGGACAGTCCGGGAAAGGTCATCCTCTATACTCAGACAGGAAGAAGATACTTTCTCCGGTAACTCCCATACAAAAGTCACTGTGACTGAAGAGGCATAGGCAGTGGTACTGTTCCACCAGCCCAGGATGAGAATGAATCCCGACACCCTAGGACACCTATGCAGCCAATTCATTTTACAGCCAGACTCAAAAAGGGAATGGAAGAATACACAGTGTTGAGTTTCTTTCTCTTATTTTATTGTTGTAAATAACCCAATAACCATGTTTCTTATGAGTCTTTATTTATGAAAGTTGAAACTATAGTTCACTGGGTGTGGTGCACACCTATAAACCTGGCTACCCGGGAGGCAGAAGCAGGAGACTAAAGATCAAGGCTACCTAGGGCAAAAGTAGGGAGACACTGTCTCAAAAAAAGGGGGGATTGAAGGACATAGTTCAAGTGGTCCGGCACTTGCCTAACATATGCAAGACACTCGGTTCAATGCCCAGTACCAAAAAAAAAAAAAAAAAAAACTATAGTTGCTTTTGGAAAAATCAACGAAATCAAATAGAAATTTTAACACAAATAACTTCCTGAATACTAATAGGTCCAGGTTTTATACACTGGGCTATTTATAACACCTAAATGTGGCAAAGGAATTAGGGCCAAAATATAAAGGGTAAGAAGGGAGTGGAACTACTGGGGATACTTCAGGTACATTTTATCAAGACAAAGTGGTGTGGCACAGTAGCTAAAAGTTTTAGCTAGGGAATATTAAGAATAAACACATCCATGGAAAAGCATCTGCATAGTACCTGACACAACAGATTCTCAAAAGTTAGAATTGTTAACCAGCCCAACCTATTTAATAACACTAACTCTTCTACATGCCAGACACTACATATACTTTCATTTCATCTTAACCTTGTAAGTCTGATATTATTCACACTCAGCAAAGAGCAAACAGACTCAGATATGCTCAGTGGCTTGCCCAATGCAAGGTAACTGTGAGCTGGGAATCACACCCAGCCTGTCATATCCCACCTCAACCTTAAGCTGCTCACAGACAACTTAAGATCAACAAGCTCAAAAACAAATTCATAGAGTTTGCTTGTTGTCTAAAAGGATAAAATCCAAGAACCAGTCACTATGTATTATCAAAACAATGTCTAACACACACACACACACACACACACACACACACACACACAAAGCATAACCCTTCAAACACTTCATCAACTGCATTTTTCTATCTCAGAAAATGACAGCACCACCCACTCATCCAATTTTACAACCAAGAATCTCAGAATCACTCTGGTGCCCCTTGGGTAGCGAGGGACCAAAGTCAGAATCACATATAAGTGCAAAGATGATTGACAAACTGGTCTTTGGTTATCATAAGTAAGACTTTGGGCATGTGATAAGCGCCTGAAGGAAGAAAAATGCTGAGATGGACTAGAAAGACTGGAAAAGATGGTGGGAGAGAAATTCTTTAGCGATGGAGATTCTAAGGAGTAGACATTTGAACAGGGCCCCAATGGGAAGAAAAAGGAAGGGAAGAAAAAAGGGGGGTGGAGGGGAAGATCCTTCTTACAGAAGAGTAAATACAGCAGCTGCAAGGTGGGAATGGGTTGGCAGCTACAAGACACAGAGGAAAAAAAATGCTGAAGGGGGTGAATTCAACTATGATATATTTGATATACTGTAAGAACTTTTATAAATGTCACGATGTATCCCCAGTACAACAATAATTTAAATAGGGAAAAGAAAAAGGAAAAAAATGCCAGTGTGGCCAGAGTGTAGCAGAAGAGCAAAACAGATCAGGTGCTAGGTGAATCAACGAGGCAAGTCATGATTCAGAGTCTATAATTGCATACAACAGCAATCTATCCCACAGAAAGTCACACATGTATTCAACCTTAACTGTGAGTGTTGACTCAAGAATTTCTTCATTCCACAAACACTTACTAAGCACTGACATCATGCCATCCCTTCTCCTAGGTGCTAAAGTCATACCAGTAGGCAAGGATGGGAAGTCAAGAGGCTAAAACTGGCAGGCTTTTGCAACAATGCAGGCAAAGATAGTGACTTATTCTAGGATGGTGATATGCAACCAGTGTGCCACACCATTTGCCAGAATATTGTGATTTTTACCAGATTATCTGATCACTCACCTACATATACACTCACGCAAACCCTTTAGGGAAATCAGCTACAACCAGAGGAGTAAGGCAGATCTTAGAGAGAGCAACTTCCCTCCCATTTAGAAGAAGGACCAGGCATATTGTAAGCACTCAGTAATTAGGACATGTGAGTCTCTACTATGGGTCAGTAATGCACTAAGTAGTGGTAATTCAGTGATAATCTGTACCTTCAATAAATTCTTCTGTGGAGAAACAACACATGAAATAAGTCCAAGTCCAACAGTCATCTGCTAGCAGAATTTCTTCTTGATCAAAACAGGCCAGAAGACTTTGTTGTCTCAAAGGAGGTCCAGCCTTATTAAGATCTTCAATTGACTGGACAAGGACCACTCACATCATGGAGGGTAACCTGCTTTACTAAAGTCAACCAGTTCAATAAAATTTTTTTTTTTTTTTTTTGGTGTGGGAGTGGTACTGGGGTTTGAACTCGGGGCCTTGTGCTTGCTAGGCAGACAAGCTACCACTTGAGCCATTCTACCAGTCCAGAAGTCAACCAATTCAAATGTGAGTCCCATGTAAACATCCTCACAGAAACATCCAGACTAGCCTGGTACTAGTGAATCGTATGTGAAATCTTAGCTACTTCAGAGGCTGAGATTGGGAGGAACTCAGTCCAAGGTTAGCATGCCTGTCATCCCCAGCAGGAGGGAGGCTGACATCAGACGAATCACTGGTCCAGGCCAGCCCAGGCAAAAATGTTCAGGAAACCTAGGCATGATAGCATATGTCTATCATCCCAGTGACAGTGGGAAGAGTAAAACAGGAAAACTGATATCCAGGCTGACCTGGGCAAAAAGTGAGACCCTATCTCAAAAATAACCAGAACAAAAGGGGATGGAGGCATGGTTCAAGAGGCATAGCACCTGCCTAGCAAGCATGAGGCCCTGAATTCAAACCCC